GTTTTAGACTCCCACTACCACTTCTGAAGCCTTTCCCTGTAATTATTTGCATTGTCTCTCCTTTCTCTTTCTCTCCCTCTCCCTCCTTCCTCTGTATTTTCAGCTTGTCTTCCTCTGATTACTTTCCTGCAGGCTCCACACTTACTCAGGTTTCTCCTGTTAAGTAATAAGTTTAAAGCCCTTGAGTCAGGGCTCTCTTCTAACCTATCTTCCCTTCTCAGTCAGGCTTCTTGGATAAAGTTACTGCCTCCACTCCTCACTTCTTCAGTCCGTATACCCTGGCTTCTTGCTTCACTCTAATACACTGAAACATTTCTTGAAAAGTCGCGTTGCAAGAATATACACCGTGGTCTCTTTCAGTCCTCACTTAACCATTCTGTGCTTCTTGAAACTCATCTCTTGGCCTCTCCCCTCTGCTTCTCCTACCTCTCTGACAGTCTCCTCAGCTGCCTTTGCTAGCTACTCTTCTTGCTTTTCCTGTAAATCTTAAAGAATCCACTCCCAACTCTGTCTTTTGGTTCTCTTCTCATTCTTCTTGATCTTCCTAGGTAGAATTCATCTATCCCCATGGCTTCAGTTGCCACTTATATTCATGGAAATCACCAGGTCTCAATGTCCAGATATCTGGTGGACAACTCCACTAGGATGTTCCACAGGTATCTAAAAGATAGCATCTTTTTGTCTTCCTTTAAGTCAGTCAGTCTTGCTTTCTTTGTTCTCAAACTTAAACTACTATAGCTAGTCACCAAAGCTGGAATTCTTAAAGTTACCATAGATTCTTCTTTTATCCTCATCTTTCACATTTAATCATTGATCAAATACTGAAGAGTCTACATTTTTTTTTTTTTAGAGTCTACATTTTTTGTATCTTCTATATCCAGTCCTTCCCCTCCACTTCTGGTATTTCTTATTTCCAATTTTTATCACATCTTCCCACAAGTTTTAAGAGTAGCCTTTTGTTCCCCAAATTTTCCCACCAGCAGCCACCAATTCATTCTCACATAGCTGCCAAAATTATCATTCAAAAAGGCAAATCTGACCATGGTAACCTGTTACAGCCCTTCGGTGATCCCCCCATGACCTATGAGATTCAAGACCCTCCCTCTCTTCCTCTCACTATGTTGTTCAGTGCCTAAGTCATGTCTGACTCTTCGTGACCCCATGGACTGCAGCAAGCCAGGCTCCAGTGACTTTCCAGGCTCCTCTCATTATATCTCTAACTTATATGCTTCACACCAACCATAGAGGAGAAATTAGGATGACTCTAAAGTTTTTGTCCTAAGCAAGTGAAAAGATAGATTGGCCATCAGCTAAGATGGGGAGAGCTATATGTGGAACAAGCTTGGAGGAGGAGATTAGGGATTTGAACTTGCTGAGTTCAGATATAAACTAAACAGCCAAGTAGAAATGTCACATAGATACTTACGTCTAGCATTTCGGAGAGAGGTCTGGGTTAGAGAGAGAGATTTGGGAGTCATCAGCAGATAAATGTATTCTAAACCACAAAACTGAGTGCAGTCACCCAGGGAAGTGCAGTTCAATAGAACTTTCTACGATGATGGAAATGTACTGTATACCCATGCTATCTAATAAGATAGGCTACTAGCTGCATATGACTGTTGAGCACTGAAATAAAGCTAGTTACACTGAAGAACTGCATTTTAAATTTTATTTTAACTCATTTAAATTTAAATAGCCATACGTGGCTAGTGGCTACTACGTTAGACAGATCCAGGGAGTAAGTGTAGATCAAGAAGAAAGGAGGCCCAGTGACTGGGTTCTGGACATTCTACCATTAAGAGGTCAAGGAGGTGAGATGAGACCATCATGAGACACTGAAAAATGTAAACCAACAAAGCAGGAAGAAAACCAAAACAATATGATGTCCTGGAAACCAAGTAAAGAAAGTATTTTGAGGAAGACCAAGTGATCAACTTAATTTAAAAGGACCAGAAGCCTCAGTAACACACAGTACTCACAGGATATGGCAAGTAGGCACTTTCCTGAATTGCTGGTAGAATGACATCAGTGGAGCACCTTGGAGATAACTACCAAAATGTAAAATGCACAATATGTCCACACGGCTATATATAAAAGGCAGTTTATAAACTGTGTATAAAATACATATTAAATATATACATATATATGCATGTATCTTATAATAAAAATATGTAAATTTGTGAATACATGTATATACACAAATTTATACACATAGTATCTGTGAAAGGATATACATAAGAAATGAGTAAGTGTTTGCCTCTAGGAAGAAACTGGGGTGCAAGAGGACTGAGGCGAGAAGAAAGCTTTTTTTTTCTTTTTTTTTTTATAATATACCCTTTTTTGTGTTATACCATATGCAAACATTTATCTAGTCAAAGCCAGATATTTTATTTTATTTTGGCCATGCCACACAGCTTGTGGGGTCTTAGTTCCCCTACCCAAAATAAATCAGGGCCATCTGCAGTAGAAGCACAAGAGTCCTAGCCACCAGACCACCAGGGAATTCACCAAAACAGTATATTTTAAAATTTAAAAAAATGATTGTAGAATATATAGCACATAATATATAACACATAAAGCATTGTGGTGCTAAGCACATTTTTTCCAGTGGGTAGATTTGAATGAAGCTTATTTTGGCTTAAAAAGTAACATTTCAAAGGGATAGTTTTAAGTCCCAAGTTCACATAGAAATGTCATAATTGACTCTGCTGAATCAACTGCAGAATAACTATCCATTCATCATTGGGAGTCTTCATTGGTTATCTCTGAAGCTCAGAGATTATCTGAATTTATTTTTAATTTTTTTTTTCTTTATTTTACTTTTGGCTGTGCTGAGTCTTCCTTGCTGCCTAGGCTTTTTCTCTCCGTTCAGTGAGCAGCAGCTATTCTCTAGTTGCAGTGCTTAGGCTTTTCATTGAGGTGGCTGCTCTTATTTCAGAGCACAGGCTCTAGGTGCGCGGGCTTCAGTAATTGCCGCATGTGGGCTCAGTAGCTGTGGCTTCTGGGCTCTAGGGCACAAGCTCAGTAGTTGTGGTGCACAGACTTAGTTGCTGTGCGGCATGTAGGATCACCCTGCACCAGGGGTCGAGCTGTGTCCACTGCATTGGCAGGCAGATTCCTATCCACTGCACCACTGGGGAAGTCTCCGAATATTTTTTTGTTTTGTTTTGTTTTTTAATTGAAGTGTAGTTGATTCACCATGTTGTGTTAATTACTGCTGTGCAGCAAGTGATTCAGTTATACACATATATACTTCCATTTTTATATTCTTTTTCACTATGGTTTATTGCAGGATACCGAATGTATTTCCTTGTGTTATACAGTAGGACTTTGATTATCCATTCTATATGTAATACATCTACTAACCCCAAACTCCCAGTCCATCCCTCTTGCATTTCCCCTTCCCTTTGGCAACCACAAGTCTGTTCTCTATGACAGTGAGTCTGTTTCTATTTCATAAATAAGTTCATTTGTGTCATATTTTCTAACTTACTTCACTTAGAATGATAATCTCTGGGTCCATCCATGTTGCTGCAAATGGCTTTATTTCATTCATTTTTATGGTTGAATAGTATTCCATTGTATTTATGTATCACATCTTCTTTATCCATTCATCTGTCAGTGAACATTTAGATTGTTCCCATGTTTTGGCTATTGTGAATAGTGCTGCTATGAACATACGGGTGCATGAATATTTTTGAGTTATAGTTTTGTCTGGATATTTGCCCAGGAGTGGGGTTGCCGTATCATATGGCAACACTATTTTTAGTTTTTTGAGGAACCTCCCTACTGTTTTCCACAGTGGCTGCACCCGAACGTTTTTAAATAGCCACAATTTCTGATTCTGTTTTCATGAAGTCCCACAAGAACAAATACTCTCTTGGTTAGTGATTCCTTCAAGATGTTTTAGAATAAGACAGAGAGACAAACAGAAAGGCCAATGTAGGATTGTTGGGGCTTTGGGGAGCTTTTTTTCATGATTTATACGTAAGCATGCACATCCTTTGACTAAAGCTGTTTCTATTTAATTTTGTGCTGTAATCTCCAAAATGGATGCTTCTACTTAATGTAATTTGAAGTAATGTCCAGTAAGTGATTTAACAAAGTTACTTGCCTACTAAGATTAAGTAATTTTATCTTCTCCTGATGACATGAGAAAAGAGCAGACTTTGACAATTTTGAAAATAATGTGATCTTCTTGTTAATATCTACAGAAGGACCTAATAGGAGGACTACTCACTTTTGTTATGAAGCCATTTTGATAACAATTGAAACAGTGAAACAACACAGTATGACCTAAATGAGGCTAGTGACTGAGATGATGTGTCAGAATGTCCAATATCAAAACTATACCCACAAGTTCTTTCTTTGTTTCCATGGTTTATTTTTCTTGGTTTGTCAAAGGATTGAGAAATAAAAATTTTAAGAAAAGGTAGGATTCTAGATTTAATTTATGTGTCCCATTTTTTTTTTTTGCAACCAAAAAAACAAAAGGTTCCAAGTCCCAAGGTAAGGGGAAAACCAAAAAATACCAGTACTTTCCAAAATACTTTGAGGTCCTTGGACAGAAGCCGTTGTAATGACACTGTACTAAGTATTTGACAAAGGGCTTATATATGAAAGGAGATGTGTAAGCATAAATTACTGTTATATTGATATCATATCACAGTGAAGTACTCTTCAGCCTCTTGAATATAAAAGAATATTTCTACATTTGGTTCTAGCAAACACTATTGTGCTATTCTGAAATCCACAGCACAGAAATTATAAGACATCCGCTCATAAACAGAAAGCAAATCACTATTCAGCATTTCCTGCTCTGTTTCCTGCCAATTTGAGATAATTAAAACTTTTTTTAAACCTTTTATTCTATTCTGCTTTAATTCTGCTTCCTTTACCAAAAAAGATTCAGAAATTAAAACTGTGTATATAAGAGTATAGCAAATCTTTGCCTTTTTTCCCCTCCTATGCTATAAACCTAACTTTCTTCATTATTGCAGACCTCAGGATATCATTGTGTTTATCATTGGAGGAGCCACCTATGAAGAGGCTCTGACCGTTTATAACCTGAACCGTACCACTCCTGGAGTGAGGATTGTCCTGGGAGGAACCACTGTGCACAACACAAAAAGGTGAGGGAGAGCATTCGGTCCTGTAACTCTTCCCCTTTCCCGGAGAGGAAGACTTAAATTCCCTTTATGTAGGAGAAGTAAGGTCAGTGCTGACCAAACTGAATACGAAAATGAGTAGGATAAAGATAGAACATAAAAAATAAGAAAATAAGTGCCTGGAAAGAGAGGTAAAAGAGCCGTGGATTCTGAGTGGCTAAGAGAAACTAGTTTCATGGAGACGATAGTGTGTAAACCGAGCCTTGGATAAAAAAATGGACATAAGGAGGGAGAGCACATTCTAAGCAGATTTAACCACATGAACCAGTAACAGAAAGCTATAGACAACATACATAGAAAAAGAACAGCAAGTAGTCAACTAGCTGGAATGTATGTAATAAGTGAAAAGGTTAACTGAATGCCATAATTGTGGAAGGCCTTGAATTCCATGCTGAAGAATTTTTTTCTGCTTTCTTATGTAGAAAATGAGGAATTATTGAACGTTTTCAAGCAGGACAGTTACAAGAAGATCACAGTATTTTAGGAAGATTAATTTGGAAGCTGAAGTTAGGAAGGACAGAGGATGAGGAGGAAACTAGAGACCCATGGCATAATAGTTAAATTTAATGATTGGGAGCCCTGAGAGATCCATGCTGAGTCATGTATACATAGATACACAGGAAGGCATTAGTGGTGTTTTTGTACTTTTTCACTTTGTATTATTTGCCTCATTGCACGTTCTGTTTTATAACCTGCATTTTGTAGTCTATGGTAAAAACTTCTTATAGTTACAAATATATAATCATTCATAAACAAATATTAATTGAAAGATAAGATAGACTGGATTCAAATCGTTCCCTTTTACCATTTTTGTGCATTTATGCAAATTAGTTAACCTCTTTGTTGATTTCTAGAGCTCACTGGCCATTTATGTATTTCTTCTCATGAATTTCCAGTTCATGTTCTTTGTCCCTTATATAAAGGATAGTGACCATTTTTCTGTTATATATTTTGCAAAACATAGTTTCCTCTATTTGGTATTTTTGTTTTGTTTTATAAAACTTTTCTTTTTTTAACTTTTATGTAGTCAGAGTTACCAATGATTTTTGCCTTTGATGTCATGCTTAGAAAGTTCTTTCCCAATCAACATTATATAAATACTAACCTCTATTTTTTCCCATGACTTTTAGGACTTGTATTTAAAGTTATATATTTATAATCTATCAAAGTTTTATTTTGGTGTAAACTGTGTAGTAGAGCTTATTTTTATAAAATTTGCAGAAATATTACATGTGCATACATATGTAATTACATACAGAAAAGTATACAAATGATAAGCAGACAATTCAATGAAATAACACAGAGTGAGTCCATCCATGTAACCACCACAGAGATCAAATAATAGAATGTTTTCAGCACCTCTGACATGCTTCCTTATGCCTCATGTCCCCTTCTTTGCACAACTCCATGTAAAATAATAGCTTTTATGACTTGTTATTATAGTTTTACCTGTCTATAAAAGATACTTGTTGAATGAATAAAGAATGGTTAAAATTGATCAGTTCTACTTTTCTCACAAATAGATCCTTAGACAAATCTCTAATCCCCTTCAACTTACAAACTACATTTTGTCCAGCATTTTTGTTCCACTTTTTTTTATAATTCCCAAATGAATCATTATTTTCAGTCTTTATTTTCAGTGTTTTTTCCACATATTTACCTCTCCTTGCTCTTCATCCTGGTCCTTCTTTCCGATCCAATTTTCTTCTTACTAAAAACATCTTATAGTAGTTCTTTCAGGTCATGGTCAACTTGATGTTTTTGTCTAAAAATAGCTTAGCCAAGTTTAGAATTTCAGGTTAATAGTTGGTTTTTTTTTTTTCCCAGCACTTAGAAATCAGAAGACAGTCCCAGAATACTGGAACTTCCCTGATGGTCCAGTGGTTAAGACTCTGCGCTTCCACTGCAGGGGGGTATGGGTCCCATCTCTGGGAAACTAAGATTCCACATGCTGTGTGGTGTGGCCAAAATGAAAAAATTTTAAAAAGAAGATGACCATGAAATACTATTTTCAGTTGTTGCTATTAGGAAGTCTACTCTCAACATCTATAATTGTGTCTCATCTGGAGGCAATATTTTCTTCTCTGGCTCTTTTTAAGATTATCTTTTTGTCTTTGGTGTTCTTGTTTCAGTATTATATATCTAAATGTGAATTTATTTTTATTTATTTTAGTTGGTATGAAAATATATGTTTGGCATTTCATAATTTCTGGAAAATTTCCAGTCATTATTTCTTTAAATAGTGCATTTTTTCTACTTCCTCTATTCCCTCCTTCTGGAATTCCTGTTCACTATATGTTAGGCATTTATCTATTTTTTCATGTCTCTTAACCTCTTGTTTGTATTATCTACTTGTTATCTCTCTGTGCTGTCTTCTGTGTAATTTTTTTCATATTAATATTTCAATTCAGTAATTCTCTCTTCAGCCATGCCTAATCTGTGTTTAAGTCTGTAAGTTCTATTTGCTTCCTTTACCAATTTGTCTGATTTTTTGTTAATTTCTTCCTTTCTCATATTTTCAAATCCTTTTCAAATTTTTCTTTAACCACATTAATTCTATTATCTGAAGTCCTTGGAGATCTAATTCTGCTATTGTGTCTGCTGACATTAACTCATGATGACTCTCATCTGCATGTGTTTTGTAATTTTGGATTATGGATTATCTTAAAGAAGACTCACAGGACTCATGAGGGGCCTAAGTTGAAAATATATCTCTTCTGCATGGTTTTTCTTTCATTTAGGCCAGGTACCCAAAGAGTATTATCAGTTCAGAACTTTTTTAGTGTTAACTTCTGTCCTGAAGAGTTCCTGAACCATGCAGAACCTATACCTGTTTGTTTTAAGTTTCCTTGTGATCTTCCTTTGTGGATTTTTGTTTTTCTGCTCCTTTTCAATGAGGGCCTCTCAATTACTCAAGAGTCTTAATTCTAATTCCCTTTCTTACTAAGTCCTAAACCCTGGATCCTGATCCTTTGTGGCTGTTAAAATACAGTTCCTTTGTTTATAAACATTGCCATATACTTATCGGGTAGTCATAAGCATTGGTTTATACTTGCCAACCTAAGTTTAGGTTCCCTTTTTGTGATGACTTAGGGTTTCCCTTAATTTCTTAAGAGGTTTAGCTATTCATTTAAAAGTATGTTTGTCATTTTTTTATCCAGCATTTCTATATGCTTTATTTAATTTCACCTTATCTAGTTGGCCTTCATTTCAAAAATGGAAGTATAAGTGCACTTGTGATCTTGGAAAAGTTTAAATTGGTAGTAACATTACATGAAGTTTACTCTAATTTGAAAACTATTAGGTGATATTTAGAAGCTTAGCCGTGCATTCTAAAATGTCAAACTGAGTATTTTATGCCTAATTCAGTAGTCTGTGGGGTACCATTGAATATTTTTGAGCATTGAGTGACACAAAGTATCACAACTATTTTATTCAGTTTTCTCCCATTATTCCTACTGGTGGTGGTGACCCCATGGACTGTAGCCCACCAGGCTTCTTTATCCATAGAATTTCCCAAGCAGGAATTCTGGAGTGGGTTGCCATTTCCTCCTCCCGGGGATCTTCCTGACCCAGGATCAAACCTTGATCTCCTGCTTGGCAGGCGAATTCTATACCACTGAACCACCTGGGAAGCCTATTGTTCCTGTTACTGCTAATAAAAATAATAATCGTAGTAAATATTTATTGAACATCTACTATGTGTTAGGCACTTTACTAAGTACTTTACATATATTAAGTCATTTAATCCTCAATAAGGTGTATACTGTTATTTTCAGCACTCTGCATATGGAAACTGAGGCAGAAAGATTAAATAACTTGCCCAAGTAAACATGGTTACAAAGAGAGCCAGTTCTCAGAGCCAGAGTCCGTGCTTTTGATCACTCTTCATTTCCTTCATAAATATTACTTGAAAGCCTGACAGTTATTTTCTAAATAATATTTAATAATCTAGGGTTTAAAATGTTTTATTACTAGATAGACATATAGGATTTTATTTTCTTAATCTAAGTGAGTTTCTCTCATGTTTGTATATATAATTATCTGCTTTAAAGTAGGCTTTACTATCTGAATCTAAAAAGGCTAATTGACTCTTAAGTGATCTTTCTGAGAGTTAATATTTCCCATTGAGTGTTTGTAGCCTCATGACCCATACCTAAGAACTATAGCATCTTCTCTTTAACTTGAAATATTAGACCTTTAAAACTAATTACCTGTATCTCAATTTAAAAAGGGGGCTTCCTGAGAGCTCAGTTGGTAGAGAATCTGCCTGCAGTGTGGGAGACCTGAGTTCAATCCCTGGGTTGGGAAGATACCCTGGAGAAGGGAAAGGCTACCCACTCCAGTATTCTGGCCTGGAGAATTCCGTGGAGAGTCCATGTGGTCGCAAAGAGTCGGACATGACTGAGCGACTTTCACTTTCAATTTTAAAAATACTTTGGATTTAGAGGGAAAGAAGATTAGCAAAGATTTTTACACATTTCTTTAAGTGTGTAAAATATGACTTTCTTTAAGTCATATTACATATAAACAAAAATGCATATATTTTCAGGTATGTTTGGCTAATTAATTGTACTGTGAATAAAACTTTATTTTATTAAAAATGGGAGGGAGACCCTAAATATCTAGATTTTTCCTTAAATTAGTGTCCCAGGTCCTGAGAAAATAATGTTTAATGTCAAAGTAAGAAAGTAAGGCAGAAAAATAAAAGAAAGTAAAGCAACTTTGTGAAAGCTATAGACTAGATTCTTCCAACTAGCCAGCTCAATATTTCTTTGTCTGACCTAATAATATATTAAGCAGTATACCAAATTACATTTGAGCAGATATCCTTAGCGGTAGAAGGTTCAAGAAAATCTTGGACAGGATTGTTCACTGGCCCCTGATCAATGAAACTTTTAGAAAGAGGGAGTTGCTAATTAACAACCTGGAAAAAAATTAATATTTGCAATACATAAATGTTC